CCACATAGGACATGAGGATGAGAGACTAAAAAAGAATCTGTTCACATTCTCTTGAAATATCCCGTAGTTTCTCTCAAAATACTGCACATCTTTTCTCAAAGTTTCAGCCTGGGCTTAGAGTTAGGGCCAAAGTGCAAGTAACATCAAAGTTTATTTTTGAAATAAAGGTTTATTTCCTCATGGCATTCTTGAAGGATTTGCCCTGTGTGTGTGAAGCATTGAGTTTGGCTGAAAGGAATTTATTTTAGGACCTTGAGCTGTCTTTGGCTTACATGCCTGTTGCCCTAGGAAGAGATTGATGGCCATGTGAGTTTCCAGTCCACCCCTGGGGCCCAGCTCTTGGAGTTACACCCCTCCTGGCTGAGCTTAGGGAAGAAGCCTCTTGTTGACTCAAGGGTAGAAGTGCTCTTTCCTCTCAAATGTTGCAGCAGTAATCCACTCAGCGCTCCCTTTCTTTTCAGAGCATAGCATTGATTAGCACTGATATTTTCTGAATTGTTGCTTGAATAATATAGGCTCTATTCTGACTGAAAAGCTCCTAGTTCACTTTGGGCTACAGGGCTGCCTGTCTGAGGAGAGTTCACTTGTGTTCTTAACTACAGAGTTAAGAATTAATACCAAAGAAGGTAAATGACACTTCATTACTATTATTATTTTGAGACAGAGTCTCAAGCTGTCCCCTGGGTAGAGTGCTCTGGCATCATAGCTCACAGCAACCTCAAACTCCTGGGCTTAAGCAATTCTCTTGCCTCAGCCTCCCACATAGCTGGGACCATATGCACCTGCCACAACGCCCAGCTATTTTTTGGTTGCAGTTGTCCTTGTTTGGCAGGCCAGGGCTGGATTCAAACCTACAGGCTCTGGTGTATGTGGCTGACATCTTAGTTGCTTGAGCCACAGGTGCCGAGCCAGGTAAATGACACTTTTTAAAAAGAGTTAATTTATTTCCTAATTCTTGTTAACTTCTCCTGGTACAAACACTTAGAAGCAAGGAACAACAGGTTAGAGTTGGGATTGACAAGCAACCTACTACTAGTTACATGTGTCGTTTTTTATTTATAATAAAAACATCTTTACTGAGTCTCAAGGCAAGGGGATGTGGGGTGAAAGTATGTTCTTAAAACTTAGATACAACAATTTGATGCAGCAGAGGACACTTGAAGTCTTAGCTATTTGGGGGGATCCCTTGAAGCCAGGAGATTGAGTCTGAACAAACAAACAAAACAAACAACTGAACAATTGAACAAACAAACAATTGAACAAACAGAAAACTTAGATAAAACAAATTGACTATAGAGGAATGTCAAGGAGAAAACTGGCATCCCTTTGTAGCCACCAAGTTGCTACCATCTGGGCATATTTGAGTAACATGGAGGTAGCATTCTTGTTTCTCATTCTAAAATTAGACTGAAGGTTATACTGGGATGTTGAGTAGGTTGCATGGTTGCTCATAAAATTTCAATTTGCAGCTGTGGAAACTGCCAGCTGGAAGGGAGGAGTCATAGCATATCCTATGTCACTTATTTTTATTCTTTCATGTTTATTTTTATTTTTATTTTTTGAGGCAGAGTCTCATGATGTCACCCTCAGTAGAGTGCTGTGGCGTCACAGCTTGCAGCAACCTCAAACTCTTGGACTTGAGCAATCCTCTTACATCAGCCTCCCAGCTAGCTGGGACTACAGGTGCCTGCCACAACACCCGGCTATTTTTGTTGCTGTTGTTGTTGTAGTTGTCATTGCTGTTTGGCAGGCTCTGGGCCTTGTTGCAACCTGCTAACCCCGGTGTATTTGGCTGGTGCCCTAGCCACTGAGCTACAGGCACCAAGCCTCATTCATATTGATTTTTTATTGAAATTCTAGGTCCGTAAGCAGGATGGGAGGTGGAAAGGAAAGTTGGGCTTTTCCTTGTCATGAGCCATCAACTCTCCTGTTTTCCTCCTGCCTCTTTGGCCAATCTTTCTCAGTCTCTGTTTCCAGGCCACAATCATAACCAGTTCCACAGGTGAACCCAGCTAAGGCTGAGATTGCAACTCTGAGCATGGTGACTGGATGAACTGCTACAGGCCTGGAGCCTGGGAATTGCCGGGTGGGTAGGAAGCATCCAGCACTTTTCAGGTCTAGCTTGGTTGTTAAGGGATTCCCATTTCTCCCCTTTGCACCTTCCTTTTCTTTCTCTCCTTCTGAATGTGTAATGCCAAGGTTTATAGGAAAATCAAAGTAAATGTTTAATTCACAGAGCATTGAGTGGCCACTTCACTCTGGAAATGTGGGCACACGTGGGGAGTAGCTATCTAGGCCTCCACATGAAAAGTTTTTAAGTACCTTCTTCCTCATGTCAGGCAGTGTTCTGCTCCAGAATCCACAATGACTCTCTGTAGTCCCTTCAGTAAGTTAAATCCTTTAGTAAGGTTCTTCTATCTGCTTTTAACAGGCATTTTCTGAGTACCTACTGTGTGCCAGTCACTGGGCATACAGCAGTGAACAAGACAAACATGGTTCCTGGCTTAATGGCGGTAAGGGTCTGGGGGGAAATAATATTATTACAAAGAAATATTACTATTAAACAAGGATGTTTGTATGACTCTCTAGAAACCTGTGCCAGATATTGTGCCGGAGGGTGATGTGGGGGCATAGGAGAGGGCTCTTCACTGTAGCTGCTTTCCTGCCAGATGGAGCATGGCACTTCTGGGACTGAAATTCTCCCTCCACAGACCAGAGCAAGGTTCCTTGCTCTTGGCCCCTCTCTTGAACTCATGGCAACCCCTCACTCAAGGTCTCACCTTTCTTTTTGGGAAGAGATAGGAGAGAAGAAGGAAAGTGAAGATTTACATTCCCTCAACTTTTTCCATCATCCATGCCATCCTGCTCTAGTCCTGGGAGGGGAGGAGGGGCTCTGTTCTGAGATGGCTCCATTGCAGTCCTTGATGTTTCCTTGATGAAAGCCAGGGCCATCTTTTTGAAGAGGCTGGAGTGAGAGCGGACTAGGCTGGGGGGAAGGGCATGGAGCCAAAGCTGGTTTACTTGGAGTTGAGCTTGTTATTACAGAGCTCTGAAAGATTCATCAGCTTTGGGAATCAGTAGTGAGGGCAGCTCAGCCACCAGGCCCAGCCCAGACCTACTGCATTCAGGCAGAGAACCTCTGCCCAGTCTCCTTCAATCTGCTTGCACCTCATTTCTTCTCCAGAGCAAAGATCAGTCTAAACAGCTCATAGGTCAAGGAAAAGTATCCCTGGAGAGTCCAGCCAATTCCCTACTTCCTGCCAGTCACTCTCTTGGCTCAGATTTAAGTTCACCAACTAGAGAATTTGGGGTTCTCATTCTGCAACTGGATTTTGTAGTTCAGAAAGCAGGTTGTCTTTTGCCCATTTCTTGATTCTTATTTTAATTAGAATCCAACTTTTCTAGTATCCATATTCTAATTTGCTAAATAGGAAGCAACTATACACTGAGATGGGTAATTGGTTTACTCTTATAGATGTATATATTTATAGGGTACAATGTGATATTTTGAGATATATATATATATATATAGAGAGAGAGAGAGAGAGAGAGAGGAATGAATAAATCAAGCTAATTAATATATCCATCATCTCACACACCATATTTTTGTGGTGTGAACATTTAAAATCTGTTCTTCTAGCAATTTTGAAATATACTAGTTGTGGACCTTTCTTGAACTGCTTAAGGGACAATTAATTCTCTGAAGGCACGCATGAAAATAGGCCTTGCTGGGGATCATTGGCAGAAACAGAGGTATTTGTAGAAGAAAAGATAACAGAATTAGGAAAAAGAATAAATGAAAGCACACCAAAGTCAAAAGAAGTGGTTTAGAGAATCATGGGTGTGCAGTTGTTGAAAATAAGTGTTTGGAGTGAAAAATCCCTAAAAGGACATACACATACTGAGGTACTCTGGTTTTCTGAAGATGACAATATTCCCCTTTTTTCTATCTTCTAGAATGGAGAGAAATCAGGACATGACCATAGGGGTTGCTAGCACAGAAAGCACATCTTCTCAGAGAGCAGTCCAGGAGCTAGTGATGGAACCCATCCCAGCTGGAGGGGCCCAGAGAAAAAGACGGCCTTGGGCTTTCCTTTTGCGTAAAATATGGAACAGAGTCCCTTAACCCGAATTGAAACTACCCTCCGCCCTCCAAAATGGGTTTGTTTTCATTTATTCAGTCCAATGCCTTTACAGCGTCCAGGCATTGTTAGGACATGGCAAGGAGGCATTTCCCTATAGAACAGTCATATAAGATACTTGGTTCTTTCCCCCTTATTTCCAAGCTCCTGGGCGCTAGAGACTACTCACAGCCTAATTCTGTCTTGTGTGTGGCACCAAGTTACATGTTTGGAGAAGGAAAGCTAGATGAATGATATTAAACTATTTGGGCGGTCTGCGCTGGTTACTTGCTCGTGTGGATGCGGGTGCACTTCAATTTTTCTGTATTCATTAAGAAAAAGTTTAAGTTAAAAGAACAAAACGGAAAAGTAAGTTTAACCATCAGAACTAGGAGCCCCTCAGTAGGACGCGGGCACACATCCTGTACCTAACATCAACCCCCCCTCCACCCCAGACATTCCTTCTTTCACGCTCCAGCTCGCTCTTTTCACTCCTACTTCCCTTTCCCTCCTCTCCGGGATCAAGCGTTAATCTGCGAATCTCTGACCGCAAAAAGGAAAAAAAAAAAGGTGGGTGGGGGGATCCCGAAGTAGCAGAGCTAGGGAGGAGGAGGAGGAGAAAGGCGGGAGGAGGAGGAGCCCGGCGAACCAGAATCCGAGGGACTGGTGGCTCCGGGGAGTGTGCAGCCCCGGTGGGAGCCGGCGCTCTAGGCTAGGAACCGATCAGCCCGCCCACCCGCCCCACGTCTTTGGCGCCGGCCCGCTTGCCTGCCCGAGCCCAGGGGCCTGCTACACCCGGATCTGGGGCCGCCGCTCAGGGGCGCCGCAAGGGGAGAGTCGCTCGCGGCGCCAGGCTGGTTCCCCGCGTCCGCGCCCGGGATGCCGTTCTACAGGCGCACGGTGGTGCCCCAGCGCCTGTGTCCGCGCAACTCGCCACAGCCCCTTGCCGAGCTCCGCGACGTGAGCCACCTGGCCGCGCTCAGCCTGCTCCGGCAGCTCGCTGATCTCTGTGGCCACTCGCTGGCTCTGCTCGAGGACCTCGAGGGGCACCTGCTGGCCCTGGGGCGACGCACCGACAGTCTGTTTCGGCGCACAGTGCGGCTCCGCCGCCGGCTTCCCTGCCGCCTGCTTCGCTCTGAGGACGACGAGGAAGAGCTAGGTAAAGGGTGGCTTGCGGCCTCACGTCTACCCTACCTCTGGGGGCGCCACTAGGCGCCCAGCTCTGCGTCCACCCCTTCCCCGCTTCTCTTCGCCTCTCCCCTTCCCTCCACTCTGAGAGTGAGGAGATCCCATTTTCCTGACCCTCCTCCCCACCGCCCACTCCTCTACTGCTGGAACTTCCTGCTCCTGGACCGGGTCGCGTTGTCCTGAGTGGCCATGGTGCCCTCCAGGTTCCTGGCCCAGGGGTCGGCGGCTGCCTCCACGGCATTTGAGGGGGGACCCGCTGGGTCCCGGACAGCTTCATCCCACCCCCAAGCCTGAGTTGTCCTCATAATCGCGGCGTCGTGAACCAAATGGCCGAGCCGCTGGCATCTTTGCTCTGGTCTAGGAGCTCAGCCACTTCAGAAAGCGCGCTGGAATGGCCTGTGCGGAGGGCAGGAGCCGGGTGGTGGTGCTTATTGGCTTTAAATCTGTGCAACTTCGCGCTGGAGCGTGGACGAGGCTCACACTCAGAGGGGTGTCTGAGCGCCCTCCCGCCGGCTTCTCCTGGCATGTTCTGGGCCGCTGAGCCGGGGAGGGGGGAGGGGAGACTGCCTCCCCCTCTCTGGCTTCGTTGACCTTCTACCGCTAGCGTCTGGCTGCACAGATTTCTGGAGAGAACCATTTAAAGAAACTATCATCAGTTTCCTGAAGTGCATTCACTTTAGCAATCAGCCATGCCTGAGAAACTCCAGATCCCAGTGGTGCCCTCGCTGAGCACTCAGGACCTGAGAGGGTAGGCGAGTAACGCGAAAGCCCTTATCCTTTACTACTTTGGAACCTAAAACTATGAGTGTGGGAGCTCTCTCTGTGAAAATGTAGTGGTCCTTTAGAGTGTGGGACTTCTGTTGAAAGCAAGGAAACTGAATATATTGGAAATGCTGACCGCGTCTAGGGCATGCCAGGTACCAGGACAAATTGGTGCCTCCAGAAAGTTCAGGGAGAGGAACAGTGTGGCCAGAAAGTTTCAGATGGAGAGAGAAGATGGCTACTGACTGACTTTTGAGTGCAAGCCTCCTGCTACCTTGGGAAAGAATTCCCTGAGTCACCCCCTCTCTATCATAGACCTCACCCATCCCCACCTCTTCCAGAAGAGCTAGAGTCAGAGGCCCTGGCACCCCTTTTCATAAAGGTCTCTGACCTCTGAGGTAAATGGAAGAGGTCACTGGTGGAGAAAAATGAACTAGATCCTGTGGGAAAAGGAAGGTGGAAGCCACAACTGCCTGATAGAGAATGTAGGCATGGGACCAGAAGCCTCTGCATGGCAGGGGCTCAGGAAAGCTGGAGCCCTAGGTTTGGTTAGTGCTCAGTTAACAAAGGGGGTACAAAGGTCATTGTGTTTTTTTGCTGGGGTCCCACTGATTACCAGGATTAGTCTAGCAGAAAGTTGATAAGTCAGCTTGGGGAATAGTTTGCAAAATCTCCACATAGCTTTCAGAGAGCCTCCTACTGAGTTGAGCAGGGTAAGTTAAGGACAATGAGAAGGTGTTGCTTTTCCAACTGGGACCTTTCTGTCCACTGACTCATTGAGTCTTTTCTATGGGAGAGAAGGCCTGGCTTCATCAAGCCACCTTAGGACTGGACTCTTTCCAGTGATCTGCTGGGTTAGGAGATGGCTTTATGTAGTGGGTATCTTTTAAAGGGAAGGAGTAATTCTTAAGATAAATTGTTCTAGGGTTGGTCTCTTTGGAAGTTTGCAAGATCAGGGAGAGTGGCCACTTCTTAGGTGTGGCCACTTGCCTTTGAGAATGCACTTGTCACTGGATTCAGAGGCACCCAAGGGATATTTACCTTCTGGAAGTTGGTCTGATTTTCCATTTTCTAGTCTAATGTCCTACCCTAGACTCCCCTTGTGGTTCACACTGCACACTTTTCAGGAGCTGTTATTACATAGCACTGAAATTAGGCCTTTTCAGCAATGGTTTGAGGATAAGTGCCAAATGCAAAGAGATTTGGGGAGCATAATCAGCGCACCATCTGGCCATCCCATTGTGGCCCAGGCATAAGCATCAACAAGGTGTTCAGCAGGCTGAATATTAGATTTTAACTATAAACAAACAAAACATCGTCAGGTCTTGCCCTTCTTTTCCCTGTATTTTTTCATCTTAGCACTCCTACTCCCTCACTGCCGATCTTGATGGGGGTCAACACTCCCAGTTAGCATTTTATCCTACATATCTTCCATCTGGCCCTATTTTCCCCAAATTCTTTCTCTAGCTATTTCTTTTAGCCATGGGGGCAGGAGAAGGCTGGGGAGGATGGAGGAAGGTTTGGAAGCAACATGGCTGACGTGAATGACAGCTGATAGGCCAGCAGTTTGTAGCCTCCCTACAGGGACAACTTGGCTGCCACCAGACAGTCAACTGTGGCACAGTGGCAGGTCAGGCTGGCCTGTAGCCTGCAGGCTGGGCTGGGGTCTGGGAAGCAGCAGTAGGAAAATAAGATGAAAAGAAAGAAAGGGATGGGGAGCAGAAAGTGGATGCTAAGGATTACAAGATGCTTCTCTACACAATCACAGGTCATGGGCCCCACCATCTTCACGGTTGCAGAGGTGGGAGTGGGCTAGGCTGGTTGCTTGGCAACCCCCCAGGCTGGTCTTTGGTAACTTGAACCCCTTTGAGACTGCCCTAGAAGCTCTTGTAACTGGGTTGGGGTTGGGGGTAGGGAAGGAAGGAGGAGAGGGCACACTATGGGGCTGCACCAGGCTGCTGTGTTTATGGATCTGTGGCAGTTGCTACTTGCTAGACATTGCCTTGCCTACAAATTGAGGTTTTCTCCACATCTGGTTTTGAATCTGACCTGTTTTATTGCATGTGTGGCCTCTACTCTGTGCTCCTTATCTCAAGAATGGTATGATCAAGGCAGTGGGAAATAACTCCATGCCTGACACCATAAGCTGAGTCAATCCAAGCTTTCCACCCCCTCCTCAGAGATCTCTTTAATGTTTGTAAGTGCTTAGATGATAATTACAAAAGCATCAGGAGATTGGCCTAGGAGTATAATATCTGTTTTGCGATCATGGAAGTCACTGAAACCCTAGATAACTCTAGGTATGTTTAATAACACTGGAGAGCTATCATGTTACAGTAGCCTGTGAATTTGCTATAGGAAATATGCTCTGTTGCTTCTTGCAATTATTTTGGCTTGAATACAGCCAGTTGGGTTCATGGTGGAAACTCCCTCTTCATCTTTATGTATAATTCCTACTTCTTGATTTTCCAACTTTGTGGCAACTCTGGCTCCAAATCAGAAAGGACAGCTGGTTTATTTATCTTTAAATCATAATTCCAGTGCAAGGAGAAACTTGTAAATCTATTCAGAAATGAAAGAATGCAAATGGCACCTCTAGACTGCAGATGGTTTACCATTACTTGAGGTGCTGTAGACCCTGAGTCTGACTGTCCTTGCTAATAGGGAGGGGAGATGGCTTCTAGAGTTAGATGGAGCAAGGGGGAACTTTGGGGAGGTAGAACAGGCACTCTTCTAGGGCTCACTTTGTCTCTGTCCTACCTGTAATCTCCAGAGACCCTTGGGACAGTGGGTTGACAGAGTGGGGAGGGGGAACAAACACATTTCCTTTTTTTCCTTTTCTCCCTATTCCCTTTCCATTTTCTTTTTAAATACCATGAAATTCCTGGTCTGCTTCATGCTATTTCCATGTGTTGAAAACATCTCTGAAAATTTGGATACCAAAATGTCCACTAAAATGTCCTCCACTTTAGAAACAAGGAATTTAATCTTCTCCCTCTTTGGACACAAGAACAGTGAAAGTGATAAAAGCATCTGGATGTTAGAATAGTAAGTAATAGGAGAAGTTTTAAGTTATGGCTCTTGGCTTAAGTTTGACCTTGATAAAGTTGATTAGGTTTCAGGAGGAGTGTAGTGAATTTGCATCATCTGTCCCTATACCTCTCTGGCTTGGGTGTAGTCCATTTACACTATGTGGCACCAAAAATTCAGTCTTTAAAGAGTGTCATAACACCTGATAACCCAGACCCAGAAAGGGGAAGAGACAGTTCAAAGATATCCAGCTGGATCAAAACCTTCATTAGCCCTAAATGCTGAAAAGGTTTTAGTGCCTCCCCAGTATCAAATGAAAGCAATACTAATCTTTCAAATAAAATGTTATTCTTTTGAGATGATTTGACGTTCACATATATGTTGAAATAGCTTTTGACTAGATTCTTTCTCTCTCCATCTCTCTCTGTTTTTTGTACCCCTGTTGTTGGTGACCTAAGCATGAATTTTTCTGCTTATTTGGGAATGTGGCCCAGCCAGGCCACACAGCAGGTCAATGACAGGAAGCCTTGACCTAGAAGCTAGGCCTTCTGATATCCAGGCCCTAACCTTTGCAGTGACACTAAGTTCAAAGTCATTTATTCATTGAGTTGTCACTGCCCTGGCATTTTCTGTATCTGGAACTTGTCCAGGATGAGGAATGACTCCTGCTACCTTTAGTACTTGAGGATAGACTATGGTTCTGTAGCTGGGACTTGTGGAGGTGAAGAAAAAGGAGAAGAAGGAGGAGGAGGAGAAGGAGAAGAGAGGAGGGAGGAGGAGGAGGAGGTCAACCTTGCGTTGTTTAGAGAACAGGTGTGAAGTGACAGGCTTCCTTGTTAAAACAAAACATGGTCTTGAGAATTGAGTGGAAAATTGCTCTGGAAAAAGGATGTTGAGATGGGAAGGGGCGGGTGGCTAGTGACTCCTCTGAAGGTCACCTTTCCATTGTGATCCCTCCTGATCCCTGTGTCATCTTTATACCTGCTCTTCTCCCTAGCTTTCAATCCAATTGTAGACATTACTCCCCACACTCCTGAAGCCTATTTTCTGTTATTTTAGTAGACCCTAGCTGGTATATTAAAAGGCACTCTTGTTAAAAACCAAGGGGAACAAGAAAATAAAATTATTACCAAAAAAATGCTTCTAGCATACACATTTCCAAGGTATGGCTTTCTCATC